TGGTGATAGCAATGTAGGTGTAGATTTTGAAGTAATTGATTGGTGGAAAAGACATGCGGGCACCTTTTCAATCATGTCCATAATAGCTAGACAAATACTTGTTATGCCGACTTCAATAAGAACCGTCGAAAGAGCATTTAGCTCCGAAGGTAATATTTTAGATGATAGGCGATCACAATTGGCTCCCGAGTCACTTGAAGCCTAAGTATGCGTGGATGATTGGATAAGAGCCGACAAGAAAACACAAGAACAAAAATAATATGATTTCAATGAAGAAAGTGTGGATCTAACACCTAACGGCACAACGACGAAACTTTTGAAGCCGAAACTTTCGGTCAAGAAAGCAATTAGGCGCAGATTACATAGAACATAAGTGTAGTTTGTAAATGGGTAATTTGAAATGTAAAAGAGAACTATGTAAGCTTTGATTCCTCTAAACCCTAAGAGGATATGTAGGAAGCTTAATTTTTGTAGTGTTTACAAAAATTAAGTTCAAGCCTTTCTTTATTTATTTCTTTTTTTCCTTTTATTTATTGTGTGAAATACATTACAATGTAAAAAATATTATAATATTTATACATTATGCAAAAAAGAAGTTTTTTTCGTTTCAATGTTAATGTTTAATTTATACTTGAGAAAAAATATTCAATTTTTTTATTTTTTCATTTAATAAAAAAAACCGTTGAACTGTCGGTTTCAAACGGTTTGAAACCGTCGATTTTACGGTTCTAAATCGGAACCATAACCATCTATAGAAGGTTTGGTTCGGGTTCCACCTTTTGGTAGAACCTTAAACGACGGTTCCTAAACCGAAACCGATGATTCGAGAACCGTTACCATGTCTAATATTGTGTTCTTAATTGTGATTGTAGTTATGTCTCGTTAGCAAGTACAATAATAATAATAAAAGTGTTTTGTTAACATCTACGAGTTGAAAAATTAATTTTATATTAAAAATAATTAAGAATATATAAGTTATATATATTTGATATACATATTGTTCATTAATATATATTATATAATTTGTACAAAAGTGCAAAGAAAAAAACTATAGAGCTTCTCAGTTTTGGCATTTTCAGTGTAGAGTCTATCTGAACCCCACACTCAAAATTGGTAATCAAAATCCTTGCCTTAATCAGGCACTAAATATATATATATATATATATTCAAGATAGAAAGATAGGATTACAAATTTCAACACTCAAGAGTGATCCAAAATATTCTGAATTTCAACAATCGGATTTTTGATCGAATATTTACTGATTGACTAAAGCCTTGGTTTTCCGTAGTGGACTAAGTCGATTAACAGGATCCAATTTGTGTTGACGTGGCTTAGGGCCATTCTGGGGTGACTGGTCGAGAATGGCTCCCAGCCTAGAGGATTGTCGCTCTTGTTGAAGTTCGTCTCCCATTGAATATAGGATAAATTGGACATGAGTTCTACAATATAAAGACATTGGAGCCATTTCTCCAAAATTTTATTCGCTTTTGTCTCCAAATACATTTATTTTTCTTAACATATTTAAATGTCTATTTGTACTTTCAAAACAAATAAATTACTAGTAATCCATTGATCGAGTCTTGAATTCCAAATGTCTTTGCATAATGTTAAGATCCATGTCTAATAACGGTAATGGGTTGAATATAAAATTAATACTCGCTTCATTTGATTCAATAAATATCTATTAAAAATATTTAATAGATATCAAATACGTATAAATAAAAAAACACATATCTATTAATATGTTTTTCAGTTATAGATACTCATTCTTTAATACCCACTAATTTATTTTTATTTTTTTAATATATAGGGATCTAATTGTATAAAATTTAAAAATTAAGGATTAATTTTTTTAAAAAAAAGTCGAGGATAAAAACTTATAAATAAAGAAGCAAAATGTAAACAATTAAATTTTAAAGACCAAAAACTTTTTTTGAAACTTACAAGGATTAAATGAGATGTTTTGATAAATTATTTTTAGCAAATGTTAAATAGATGAATAAACCGACGTGGACGAGAATAAAGATTTATATTGTAATTTTTTAACGAGACAATGAGTAAAGTATTTTTTTTATAGATAGAATAAAAAATTAAATTAATATATCAAGTATCTCTTCATTATCATCCCTATACGTTGCATGATATATGCAATTCTATATGGTTTGTGCTTCTTAATTAGTAACTAATTAATTATTAATAATAGAAAAAAATCTAAGGGCTGGGATGAAAAGTTAGTGGTTAGAAGGAGAAATAGATGGTGAAAATTGAGCCTGAATAGAGTGGACAGTGATGTCAGTGTATATGTACAATAAATGAACAGTTAACTATTGAGTTTTTTTTTTTTTAAATATTCGTATGAAAGATGAAAACCAATATAATAGTTGGATGTACATACATGGACTGTTTACTCATGCAATTGAATGGGTGATGCAACAAAATTAGATACGTAAATGAAGCACTAATCCTAGTGAAGTTGATCACTATGGATAGGTCCAATGAGTGGCTTGATTTCATACTTTTTGAGGACCAATTTTCCACATATAAATGAACAAAAAAATCGGAAGAGTACGTAATCGAATCTCAAAGTTAGTTGATGTCTAAAAAATCAAGGTAAAACCTCATAGTTACTTTGATTAGTCAGTCTCTTCTGACTTGGGTACGGTCTGAAAAATGAGAAAAACCTTTATACATAGATTAAATGAATTTGGACAGCTCGCAGAACTCCACAAAACTATCTTTCGTATTATAAATGTGCTATGTGCATTTGGATGATTGTTCAAAACAACGAATTCTATTCCCTCACACCTTGAATATAAGGAAAAAGGAAAAAATATACTCAGGAAAGGAAATAAAAGTGTGATTCATGAACCAATAAATATATCACATGTCATACAATATTTCTAGACATGGATCACGACAGATGCCAAACGGGACATGGCTGATAACGGGAGAAAATTGCCTTCTCAGTATAACAACTTTTCACTTGTTATCAATAAAACAAATGCATTTTATTTTTGATTTTTCATTTAGCATACTTTTTTTTCCAATTGTATCAATCAAGTGTTTCGTTCAAAATCTGCAATTATTTTCTTCATTTTTACATGACGATTGATTTTGACCAAATACTTTTATATTTAGGCTTTTCCTAAAAGAAAATTCTATGAAAAAACAATTTTGTATTTAATAAATAAAAAATATCTTTAAATTAAAATGAATCTTTTTATTTTGTTAAAATAAAAGAAAAAACCATTTTGAAAAATGATTTTTTTATATATATAATTTAACTGTATATAGGTTTGGCTTCGAAGCTAGTTGTGGTTTTAGGAGGTATGGTGAAAGGAAAGGACTAGAACTAATATCGGCTAAAAATCTATGGTTTCCTGGTAGAACCGCATTTCTACCAAGTTGTTTCGGAATCGGAAAAAAGAAACAGTTTTTCGATTCTTGTTATTCAAGCGGTATCCTAAAAGTACTTTCAAGGAAGCCCTTTCATGAAAACCGGACCTGAAGAGACGTAGGCCGAGACTAGAGTCCGAACCTTCACTTTCGCCGGAAACCTCGATGTTTAGTGAAGAACAACCAACATGCGAATGCGAGTTTGAAGGTCAAATCCAAAGCCTAGTAGGAAGAGGGCGCTAGGCTAGACAGGGTGTCAAGAGCATGATAGTCGAATAGATAGAACTATAATTTTGGTTAGAAAAAAAACAATTTAATTAATATATACTATTGAAATTAAATTATATATACATACACGCACAGAAACTTGAGTGTTTGAGTGTGGGATCCACTTTGGCCTGCACTTAAATTTGTGATAACCAAACCTCAGAGGTGAAGTTTAGTGCTTTTTGAGCCAAAAAAGATCAAAATATTGAATCAACTTCGACCTAAAACGAAATTTGAGTTTACGTCTATTTTCTATTTTGATTGGAGACATGTCATTTATATCGGGATAAAAAGTATCTCATGATTAATTAAAATCATTTAATGAATTATTAATACAATACCGCATTTTTATTTTAATTAAATAAATGAATATCATGTGATGGTGAAATAATGAATTTATATTAAGCTATATATATAATTAGGTTTTTGAAAATAAGTATGCATGTTTGTTTAGTTTAATTTTTTTATCAACTAAATTTTATTTTGGAAATAGCTTTCCCTCGAGAAAAAGGCCCAAATAACCTTAAATTGGTTAAAGTTAACTACCACATCATTATTAGAAAATGAAAAATTTGACAGATTTCTTATAAAAATAGACGATAAGTACAATTGAAAAAAAAATGATACAATGAAATGAGATAAATTAAAATCCATGTATTATATGGATAAAAAGCTGTTAATGGGCTGTGCTAACAATGTAATTATCCCTATATAGTGGTTATTTTTGTGGAAAATTAAGCGTCTATCAGCCAGCCACCCTCTTCACCATGTGAAATAATTCAAGACACTCTAGTACATGCCCCCTAAAACACACAATTTTGAGCCTCAAGTTTTTTTTTTTTAGGTCATATCCAATGTGTGCAAGGGAGTATATACTCTTAGTGGCTTGGAAGTTTCTCTAACTACATAAAGAAACTATACCAAACAACAAACACATGGAAAAAAAAAAAGAAAAAAAAACTTATTACTTGAATACCTATCCTGAGCTAGGAAAGAATTAACCAACAAATCTTCCTTCGAGTCCATGTAAATCCTTGCTGAGTCCATTCGAGTAATTTTATAATACATCGAAGTAATTAATTTCATGTATAGTAGCTACTTTATGGGTCCACTTTGAAGAGAGAGATAGATACAAAAAAAAAAAAAAGAAGCGAGGAGAGAAAAAATAAAAAAATTTGAGCGAGACGTGGAAATCTTCTTATCACTTTTGATGAATATGGATGTAATTTCACTATTTTTTTACGTGTCTATCTCTCTCTTCAAAGTTGACTCATGAAGTAACTATTGTGCATGTCACTAGTTACTCTTAGTATATTATAAAATTTTTCGAATACATCTACGTCCTTGCTCGAACAAGGGGTGATTGAGGCATAGGAGAGTGTGGAGAATTGATGAAATCATCGTATATTCGAGGAGAGTTGATCAGTTTAAGACTGCCTTGCCAGCGTAAGTTCTTCTTGGGCTTCTTGTTGTCCACCTTATTATTGACAAATGTTCTAATTCTTGACAAAGCAACTTGCATGGTCTGGTCATCCATGTTGGCAAAGCAAACCCTAAACCACCCCGGCTCCAAGCAATGAAAAGAACAACCTGGCGAAACATTGAGCTTGACTTCATGGATTATAACTTGCCACAGTTCCATTTCAGCTTTAAGCGTCTTCTCTTTGAGGAGTCCACTCAAATCCATCCAACAAAACAGGCCAGCATTACTCGTCTTCAAACACTTGATGCCTACTTGACCAAGTCCATAAGTGAAGACTCTATACCTTGCTGCTAATCTCCTTTTGTTTTCCCTGATGAATTTCTCCACAAATTCATTATCCGACAGCATTGATGCTATCAGGTACTGAGTTTGTGTGGATACCAATCCGAAGCTTGACATCTTGCGGGCGCAGCTCATTACTGCATCATTGTAAGAATAGATAATGCCAACCCTAAAGCCAGGGAACCCCATGTCCTTTGAGAGACTGTAAACAATGTGTACAAGGTCACGATTGCATTCAATATCATCCTGTATTATCTCTGCTATGCTAATGAAATCAGGCTGGCTGAAAACTGTGGCTGCGTAAATCTCATCACAGACTAAATGAATGTTCCTTTCATTGATGAAGCTCACAATGCTTCTTAGTGTTTCCCTGTCTAGGATGGTACCCAATGGATTTGAGGGATTGGTAATGAGCAAGCCCTTCACTTTGACGTCGTCTAATTGTGCCATCTCATAGGCATTTTCCAAGGCTTCTCTTGTAACCTTGAAGTTGTTAGAGCTATCACAGTCAACTGGAATGAGTTTAACTCCAGTTCTCCATCTCAAATCTCGATCAAATCTGCAATGAAGCACATAAAATTTTTAGTAATTAATATAATTTATTCTTTTTCACTTTCAAATGATTTCATGGGAAATTAATTGCGTAGCTAAGATGTTCTCATGTAATTACAATTAAGTATACCTAAAGCATTTTGTAGTATGACAGCCATAGAAATTAGGAAAAAGTACATGCATGGGTCATTTGATGTTGGCCTATCACCGCCATTATTTCCAATTACAGTAATGAGGGAACTATCCTCCACAAAAGTTAATAGAAGAGACATATATTTCTGAACTATTTCATCACGCAAAATAACCGCAGAGGAAGACTCGCCTCACATTGCTCCACTTTGGCACTTTTCGTCTAGACATAGGTATATTATTTTTTTGGATTTCATGATAAAAATTTATACTGATTCTTTGTTGTTCAAATTGGACCTATAAAATATGCACAATTATTTAAAAATTATTTTAAATATATGAAAACTTAAAACTGAAATTATTTACTTAGACAAGACAATTACTGAGAATTACTTAGACAGTTAAAACTTGTCTCACTCAAATCAGTCATCTTATATAGACATAAGATGGAAGAATCTAAATATACTTGATGACTTATTCGGACTAACTTGTGTAAGTTCATGCCCCCACCATAGCAATAATACAAGTGGGTCTGAGAACTAAAGATAGTGACATTTCATTAATAGCTAGCATAAGATGTTGGCATTATAAATTATTGATTATCGGTTATATGCACTTACTGGCTTGGTTGACAAACTCTAGATTGATGTATACTATTAATTATTTTCATTTTAATTAAATATTTGTCATTAATCTCTCTCTCTCCCACCTTCCTCTTGACTCTCTCCTTCTTGGTCATGGAGGAAAGCAAAGGTCAAGGCTCACCACATGGGTGTGAAAAATGTCAAAGTTGAGCTTATGACTGTTTTAATCATTCAACTAATCCATCTTTATTTGAAAATTTGCAATGAAATTAGCATATAGAAAGTAAAAAGTAGAGAAAATGCTAAATATTAATTACCCCGGATAGTATGGGGTGGGAACCAAAAATGCCTCGCCGGGATCTGCCAAGCAAAAGGCAATTGTTTCGTGAGCTCCGGTAGCTCCTCCGCTCATAACAATGCGGTCAGGATCAAATGTAATATTGTTATTTCCTCTCACTTTTGTCATGAAATTTGCTACAGCCTGAATCATAAAGTCCATAATTAGTTCATTAGTAAACCTATATACTTAGAGATGAGCAAAACAATTTCACCGAAGAAGAAGAAGGAGAAGAGCATAACAAAACTTTCTTAATTAAACTTATATTTCCTCACATTTCTAAATTCTTGCAAGCCATGATAGTCCTGAAAGATAGCTATCTCTCTGAACTCATTTAATCCTTCAGAAGTGCAAATGGAGGCTTTTGGGTTTTTCTTGAGCCATTCTTGAATCAAATCATAGCAAAGCTGCATTTTTACGAAAAATAAAATTAGTGACTGTATTCTGATCAAATATTGAATTTTGTTAATAGAAATTTAAGAACCTGCATAAACATCATCAACCTAGTTAGCTAGTTACCTGATTCTCCGCTAGACCCATCTGGATAACCCCATTTGGATTCTCCGTGAGATGATGGGGATTACTGTCATAAGCTTTCCAGCCATCAAAATACGGGGAGTCTTCCCCATGTCCATTGCTGCTTGCTATCCTAGACAACAAGTGGTTATTCAACTTGAAAACCATCTCTTTGTGCGTAATCTTTTCTTCAAATTAATTCACTAAGAGGTTTGTAACAAAAAAATTCAGCAACAGATGTTTTTGAGAGAGTTTTGACTTTTGATGCAGTCGTAATTGCTTGTGCTAATACACGTATGTTGAGGTTTGATAAACTAATAGAGACGAGTTTAAGTAAGGTTGAGAGTTTGCTGTTTCCTTTCACTCATTGTATGCACGTATTTATAGTGGTCCGAGATGGCTATGCCTTTTTCCTTTTTTTATAAATTCAATAAAGTAATATGGTAATGAAGGTGGTATGAAGGATCATAGATCGTTAGTCTTAATTTTGACAGAAATTGGTGAGATTTGGTGGGCGTTTTTTAGTTTTATTATCAATGTTTAAACTCTATTTTGGTAAAAATGTGGAATATTGTAGTCTTGACGGCTGTCTTCGTAATTCGTGCCTTAATTAGAGATATTGAAAAGGATTGACCATGTTTTGGAGCCCATATTGTGGTGATATGTGCATAATACATTTTCAAAATACTCTAAGAATAATGATTATGTATTTAAAAAATAATTATTCTATCAATTTATTTTAAAAAAAGAGATAAACATTAAAAAAAATGATATAAACTTATCAAAAATGATAAAAATATTTCTATATAAATTTTTTTTTTAAAAAAATCTCTTCTATTTTTTTTTATTTCTCTTTTATATAGTAAGTATTGATAGTTACTCTTGATGTAATATAAAATTTCTCAAAAAAAATGTTTTTCAACACCTTTAAATCAATCACCTTTTTTATTTGCTTGATTTTTCATGTTTTACTGCATTTTGAAAAACTAGTTAATAGAATTTATTTTTGAAAGAAACTTGTTTCTATTTAAATTTTTAAAAGAACAAAAAACACTTTCTATTTCTATAAAAGACTCTATTATTATTTTAATATATTATCGATCAATAAATAATATATTATTATATATCTATATATTTATATGAAAATTACATTCAATATATTAATGCATGTAATAATATACAAGTCATTATATTATATAATGATCACATAAATAAAATCATATAATTTTTCTTATAAATATTGGAATTTATTCTCTTCGAATTCATTTTCCATGAAATTCATTTTCTAAAAGCAATACGTTTAGTTGCAAACAAATGGAGCCTATATTTAAAGCTAATTTCTTGTAAATTCTGGACTCTTAAAATGTATTATTAATTTACCTATTTTTACCAGATCAGAGAGATAACTATAATAAAAACTTAAGTTCAAAAAAATTTGCCAAATCACATACTCATCCCAAATTCATTTAATTATTTTTTTCAAATTTCAAGATGACGTACCTCATTATATCCACTAGAACCAATTAACTTAAAGAATCACATATTAATTATGGGAAAAATCTATTCATAAATTACACAATATCAGAAATAAATAAATAAAAGTTCTAATTACATGATAAAAAAAATTTATCAAAAAAATACTTAATTAAAAGTATGCAGATATGTACATTTGTAGATTCGCATATTATTATTTTTTAAAAAATATATATTATAAATACTTTATTAACAAATTTTTTAGTAAATACCATTTTATTAAAAAAGAATTATAAGATTCGGGTGTGCCAAGGGACTTGTCCAGTTGTCCCAAACCCATCCCCATTCCTAATATGGATTTTCAACGCTAAATCCATTCCACATCAACTTAATTACAAGGTTGAATAATGGAATTGGTATTAAAGCTTGGGATAAATTGGTCCCGAAATAACATATATACCATGACATTGATCGGCACTGAGAGAGAGAGAGAGATTGACTGCGCTGCAATGGACGGTAGCCAATTCTGTAGCTAAAGTTACTTACTTTTTTATTTAGTCAAAAGAAATCAAAATTAATCGATCGAGTCCAAACCTTTGCTATGAATAGTTACCATCAAGGCTGCCTAGATACTTTGAACCAAATAATCCCCACAGAGAAAACAACAAAATTACCATCATCTTATTGATTTTCATTTAATTGTAACTTCCCATATCTTTGCGCCGAAAAAACCACTCTCTAAATCACAACTTATTTAAAGCAGGCTTTGTACTTGGGGAGTTTGTCCACAAGAAGACACCTAAATTGTGAATATTTTGAAATTTTATTTCCTGTATAAATCAATTCATAAATGCACACGATTAATAAGTTGGAATCTCAAGGGAGATAGTAAAAACATATATCTGGATGCATGAATTCGAGTGTGGATTGTCTTGTTAAGTTCCGATTGAAAAATAAATTATTCTCAATATATATGTTTAAAAAAGAAAAAAGAAAAAAAGACAGTAGGAAGCAATTCACTTGTTGAGTGCTTGAGTTATACAAAATAGCTTCATAACACTTCCTCCGATTGCACTTGTCCACACCCGCGTAATTGGTGGGCTGTCACCTCTCCGACTTCCATGTGACCTATTAATTTTGCAGGCCTATGACTGTCAGTACCATCTATCCTTCAAGAATAAGGATGTCAAAGACTCAAAAGTCCCTTTAATCCTTACATATTTAGGTACCAACCGCGTGCCCTTTTCCCTTACGGACCTCTAGAGCTTTGGTTGGGAGCTTGTATCTAGAAGGTGCCCAAAGACCAGAAATTAAGAGAAACACATGGGGTATCGAAGAAGAAGAAGAGTTTGCATTTGATACCAAAAGTTATTAACTTTTGGTGGACTTGAGTTTGGTTGTCGAGTGAATTGAACCTCATGCTTTTTTGGACAAGCAACTTTTTCCTTTTGTGTTCTTTAATTAGGTCGAATGCAATTCAGGTAGGTTTCCAGTTCGAAAATATTCATTGAGCAACGACTTCAATCGACAATCTTTATCAACGAAATCAACATGTTTCCCGACTATTATGTCCAAATTATTTTTAAACTCCCAAGTGCATAAACCGACATTAACGTGTAAATGGATTTAAATTCTTTTTACATTGCACTTTGAGAGATTTTACAAAAGAGGAAATTAAGGAGTGAAAGATCTCAAATTTTAAAAGAAGTTGAATACATCACCTCTTACATAATACAAGAAACACGTTGAAAATATCATGTTGTTTTTGAGGCGAAATATACATGTTCGATATAATTACTTTTACCCCTTTTTGGTCTAACTATGAAGTAGGTATCTAGCAAAAAGTTTATTAATTCTGCAGTCCACTATCTTTTAAGTAAAAATATAATTTTTCAAAAGTAAAACAGTTTATTTTATAATCTTTTTTTTTCCAATTAAGTAAACACATATTTTACAAGTACAACAATAAATTCCCAAAAACTGTTTTTTTTAAAAAAGTATTTTTACTAATGTTACTTTTAAACTACTAATACAACACAAACAACGACAAATAAAACAGAGTGTGAGATAATAAAGAAGTTAAAAAAACAACTCTTACAGAAGTTGTGGCCACTGAAGTAAAAATATGTTACCATGTGAATTGTAGGATTCATGGGATCAATGGGTATTGTGTGATCCTTTTAGAGATTCTATATAATCAGATCCCATGTGACCTTAACCTTCCAAGATTGCGATTTTAACGATAATGCTATATGTAATATGTTAATAAAAAATTCTAAAAAAAGTAAATCGAGCTTTTATTATCGGATCATTATGTCGAACTTGTTAAGTATTGAATTTTAAGTATCGAATAATTAAGTGTTGAATATGTTTTTGATAAATTGTTTGGTATTTAATAAAAATTAAGTGTTAAATATAATTAATAAGCTTGTTTGATAAGTACTCGTTGCTAAATATATTAATATTATATACATGATAATTTTAACTTTGTAATTATAACATGATATTTTTTTAACATATATGTGTGTGTGTGTGTGTGTGTGCACAAATAATAAATAATTAAATATTTAATAAAAATGATTATTAATAAAAAATTAAATACGGTCTAAGATAACATTAATTGGCATTTCAAATTTCGGGATGGTAGCATCGATAATAAAGAAGGTTTCCTCTATTTTAGTAATGGGGATAGTAAACATTGTTTTTTCGATTGGTTTGTATATCTAAAGTTATAAAAATATACAAGAACGATATAATCATATTTGAAAATTTTTAAAATTTTTCAACTGATCATGTTAATCAAAAAGTAATAAGTTAAAAACTTTAATTTATCTTATTAAGTAGATTTTAATTAAATTTAAATTTTTAATATGAGATTATTTAGGTTATCGGACAAACTTTTTATCTTAAGTATTACAATTTAATTTTTTAAGCTACTTAAATAGATTATCAAACACCTCTTTAGTATTATTGTAATTTTTTCATGTGTATTATTCATTTGGTATTCTTGAAATTTTGGTCTTTTGTTCATGTATTTGTGATAGTATTATTATGATTTTCAGTTTTTATTCATGTATTTGTGATGTCATTGTTGTGATTTTTAGTTTTTGTTTAGGCATTGATATGAAATTTTAATAAATGTTGCACTTTGTTTTCTATTTTTTTTTAAAAACTTTTGTTTCAATTCTCTCAAATTCATTTATATCGTAGTTTTTTCTTTGGATATAGATAGAAATAAAATAAAGAAGGAGAGAAAGAAAATGAAGATGGCAAAATCCATTTCGAATACTTAATTTGATTGTGGATCTAGCTTGGTTTGGATTTGTTTACTTTGAAAAGAAAAAAAGCTTGTTTATAGTGGTTTCAATCCATGAAATGATTGAAGGAAGAAAATCGATGCTCTAAAATATTTACTTGAGTTTTTGAAATTGAATTGGATTCTTAAGTAAGAATCTATATATATTGAATTTTTGAGTAACAATTAAATTAAAAAGTAAAAAAATAATCGTTATATATGTGAATTTTATGCATGTAGACCAAGTATATATTGTTTAGAAATAAAATTATCTATTAAGAAGAAAAAAAATAGAATCCACGTGTTTTCTTTACTTGTTTTCTATAATTAAAATTTATTGAAATCAATTTATAGGTATTTTTGTTATTGAAAATTGACTAGGCATATACACAAAACACTT